CTGCTGAACAGTCTCCTCCTGATGATACGTTTGGAGAAAGCCAAATTTGTGGAACACTGATTATCTAACCCAGAAGGATGAAAGACAGCAGAGAGAAAAAGGCTTGAATTCCACAATTTGAAGCGCCCGTGGCACGCGACACTGGCCCACTTGCCTTTTGGCCAGAGTGATATTGTAGTAGCTGAAGAGGGACGGCCAGTGCCTGAAGGAAAGCTTCCTCCAGATCTCCTCATCCTCCGCTCCCCAGGTAACCTCCGCTTCAGTTCCGAGCTCCGGCTGCCCATTCCCTTTGCCCTCGGGTCCTTGGGCCCAAGTGTGCTCGTTTGTCTCCAGCCCACCCAGGGCCTCCAGCCCCGACTTCTGCTCACGCTGCTGCGTCTGGTTTTCTGAGAGCTGGATCGGGTCCGACGGGAAGACCGAGAGATCGATCTTGGGGTCGCCAGCGGGCAGGACGCCCCCGGGAACAGGCATAGGAGGCAGCCCCGCTTCCCCCAGAGGACTCTGTTCAGTGACCTGGGACGTGAGGTAGGTGCGGAGACCAGCAGGATCCGTGTAAACCAGGATTCCAATCCAGATCACCGTCCCAGCCTACACACGACGAGCAAAGAGACAACCCCTTTAGTACGTGCTTCACACCCCGCTGTCGGCTCTCGGAGCCCGTCAGCCCCGCACTTGCTTCTGGTCCTACTCCCAGCAGACACTGATCCTCTAAGAGGATTGCAAGAGGCTGCACGGCACGCACAAAATCCAAGTGCTGTTTTTCCGTGAGCCGCTCACCTCGACCTGAAGGGAAGAACCTCACTTCTCCCACACAGCAGCAAAGAGACTCTCGTTTGCCACCCTCAAACCGGGCTGGAAAGGTTTCAGTCAGGGTTCCTGAACTCTGCAAGACCTGCTACGGCAGCCACGGTTCACGGACCAATGTAATGATTTAACTTAAGCTGCTCTCAAAACGAGCCGGCAGTAACGGGCTGGGCTGCGGTTTGTGGAGCTGAGGAACCCACACGTTCCTCTGCTTCCATTGCGGGTATCCAAAATAGAGACACGGGGACAAGCAGGGGCAGTGACAGGTGTCACCGCTGCAGTTGCACCCGCAAAAGGCAAAGCTTCAGTCTTTCAAAGAGCAAAACACCTCCACGTCTTTAGTCCACATTATCCATGAGAACAAAAGACAAATTTTGCTCTGTAAAAATCTCCTCTCCCCACTCATACAGCCCTGGAAAGCCTGCTTATATAAAACCAGATTCTTCTCTCAAAGCAAATATCAGAAAACTGCCCACTACCACCCCAACACCAAGGAGGCAGCAGAGTCCTGGAGCTAATCCCCGTTCTTAGGGAAGTACTGGTTCAAGTGCATTTACCGCAGGGCAGCTAAGTCTTGTAGGGGAACAAGGACGTGTGAAAACATCACAATTTTTTATTTTTTAGAAGCCTGACTGGGACGGGTTAGCGTCTGGCAGGAAGGGACACCAGGCAGCGAGCACCTCGTGACATACCATGATGAGTCTCTGGGCCAGCCGGGTCCTGGCAAAGAAATAAATGACCCGCAGCCTTTTTGGCAGGCGCAGGTTCCTGAAGGACGACGGCTGGAGGGTGATGGTGTGGGGGGTGGCGTGCCGGCGGGCGCGCGTAGCCCGGCGAGCGGCGGACGGGCTTCGCGGGGGGCATGCAGGCTTCCGCGGGCAAGCGTTTGTTCAGATCGGCGAGCTGCCAAGAGAAGAGCCAATGCATGAGAGCCGTGGGAATGAGGTTCCCTCGAGAGAAACGCGCGCAGGGACAGCCATCTCCGATACGTGCCCACGCCTGGGTTCCCACTGTCACCCTCTAGTCGACCCACGCCAGCTTCTCTCTAGCACCCAGCCATGGCCACGTCTCCTTCCAGCCCACTTACCCCAAATATCGATACCTGAGAGAGTTTTGCTCCCTCATGGTTCCTCTCCCCAGTCCCTGCCTACGCGTAACCAAACAAGCAGCTTTTCTGCTCAGAGAGTGAAAACCACAGAGTGAGTTTCCTTCAATCCTTCCGCAGTGACAGAGGAGGAAAACCCGAGGCAAACCTCCGTGTTCTCGGCCCTTCCTCACCTCCATGCGGCGAATGTCGATGGACAGCACGGTAGTGAAGAAGAACATCTGCAGAAAGAAGTCAGACACCAGGCCGACCACGGCGAAGAGGCAGAACTCCTGCAGACAGGACACACGGGTTAGCTACGGCGATAATGGTAAATATTCCAACTTCAGGAGAAGGAAAACTCGGCAGACTTTCACTCAGAGCGCAGGCCTGAGACTGGTTTACTGAGAAATCCCACTATCAATATTTTCTAACAGTTGAGAGTCTGGTGCCGAAAAGGTCCACGTGAGAACTCAAGGGCGTATTTATTCAGATTCACAGTCTTTGTTCTTAGCTATAAAACATCAAAGCACTGCAGCAGAAACCGGTGGCGGATGTTTTCCCAGCTCAAGGAGCCGTGGCAGGGCTGCAGCCTCCTCCCGAGTTCAAGTCACGAGGCCAGAGAGCCTCCAACAGTGACAGTTCCCTGCACGGCACCGACAAACCTCAGCCCCGATTTCAAACTCCTCCAGGACCACGGGGGGCTCAGGAACTGGATCACTCACCCTCCAGCCACAGACAGAGCACGACAATCACTGCAGCCACTCTCCAGGGCCCGTTTCTGCTTAAAGCAACACTTCTGCCTAACGTTTGTTTGATGGGCAAATTTCCTTCCTGCACCCCCACAAGAAAAGGCCCCTTCCCAGCCTCAGAGGTCTCTAAACAACAAATATGCGGGAAACACCATTTGCAAAAGCCGGCGTTCCCACCTCCCTGCAATGCTCCGCGTCCCCGGCAGGTGCCATTGCAGAAATGAAGATTAGAAAATTCTGCCCAGCGGCAGAAACGCAAGTCAGCTCCCAAATCATCCCCACAAAACAAACACACACCCTAATCCCCGTCAGCGCTACGTGCCAGCCCCTCTCCCCTACTACACACAGCAGCACGGGATTAAAACGGTTTTGTTGACATGGTTTGTTTCCCTTGGAGGCACAAATCTCTGTCAGGACTCAAGAAGGATCTAGTGAATGCAGAGAGAACGAGACAGCTGAACCTCGAATCCTCCCTGTTGTGTCCCAACTGTCCTCCAAGGGTAAGAAATCAGCTGATGGTTACTTAAAAAATCCGAGTGATACGGAAGGAGATAAGCGGCCAGGTCAGCTGGTGACAGCAGCACATAGAAGCAGTTTGGATCAGTTCCCCAACACCTGGTCGGGGTTTGGGGGAGCAGAGGGATGAAAACACAACGCTGGTTCCTCTCTCTCAGGGAGAAAACCAGAAGGAAAGCAACATCTGTCTGGGTTTCACCCGGACGTAGGCAAAACACAGGCTCCACGAGGAGCAGGCTGTGCGCAGAGGCACGAATTCTGCTAACACCTCCACTTACTCCACGTGGGGACCAGGGACCTAGAGCGGATGCACAACTCTCACTTGCAACCAGACTCTATTTCAGGACAAGGAGAGCGATGGAAAACCACAGAGAAGTCCCTTCTGCTACATGAGTTACACTGCCAAGGAGTGAGCAGGGAAAACAAAAGACCCGCTACGGCCCTTGTGCAGGCGAAATGTCACCCTCTCCTGCTCTTTCTGCACTGGGCAGCACCCAAACGACCCCGGCGCTGCTCCCACTGACAGCCCGAGAGCAAAGGTCCCCGTCAAATCTACGCAGCTCCTGCCGGATTCCTTGGCCGGTGCCACGCAAGCACAGCACGTTATCAGGCGCGTCCTTCGCTCTCAGGGACAGAGATAAGGGGCACGTGGCAGCCTTGGCCGGCATCCCTGCGAGATTTCTTCCTCCCGGGAACGCGAGCATCCGAGGGAAAGACAGGATCACACGGACAATCATATAGAATTACAGAATTACTAAGGTTGGAAAAGACCTCTGAGACCATCAAGTCCAAGCATCAACCCAACCCCACCGTGACCACTAAACCGCGGCCCCAAGTGCAACGTCTACACAGATTTGAACACCTCCAGCAGCCAGAGGGACCGGGGGGCAACTGAGGGACCCACTTGTGTGTGTCTGCATGTGTGACGCTCACCTGGATGGCCGGGACAAGGGTGAAATACCCAATCAAGATGATCCCAAGCTCTGTAGCCATGTTCTTCATAATCGACCAGCTCTCGTTGCTCAGTCCTGGAGAAGGAACATGCAAAGAGAGCTGAAAGGAGACCAGTCGCTAGCGGAGAGACATGAGTGTAAGAAAAAGGAACTGGATTTCCCTTCTTGAAAATTAGGTGCTGAGAGCAGGCAAAAAAAAGCACTTTCAGACTAAAATTTAATACGACATATTTTGAATCTCCAAGTGAAAGAATATCTAAGTCAAAGCAGTGCCCACAACTACAGGCTTGTATTAGTCCTTGGAATTGACAAAATCAGCACAAAAAGACGACCAAAACATAATTCACATGCAACACGCAGTCCTTCTTTCCTTCACAGAAAGGTCATTTTCCATCTCCCAGTCTTTGGGTTACCCTAATTTTCTCTCTCGTAGCAGTTTCCCGGCGCAGGCTGCGTACCTTGGGCGATGCGTAGCTTCACTTCCAGGTCAACAGGCGTAGAGACGACTGACTTGGTGAGAACCAACACGTTCTCTAGGCCGATGACTACAACCAAGTAGGGAAATATCTCCCTAGAGGAAAGAGAACCACAATGGAAAATGAGATCCGTGGGGAAAAAGAAGGGAAGAAAAGCAAGTTAAGCAGCAAACACACATCCCAGAGTCCAGGCGAGGAAATACCGTTCAGTGCTCTTAGCTAAATACCCTCTCATACACTCTCCTCTGTGATGAGGTACTTAAAAACAACAAATCTAAAGGGAAGCACGTGGACAGTGTCTGGGTCAGGGACCCCACAGGCACAAGCTTCCCCACCCAGCAGCTGCTGCAAGCAATCCGATTGTGGGCAGCGATGGAGACACACGAAGGGATTTCTCTGCTGGGAGGAGATAAATGAACGTTCACGGAGCTCTCTTCTGCAGTAGCCCAGGGAGCTCAGGAGCCACAGCCCTGAGAACAACATGAAACGTACGTATGCTTTGTACACAAATAAACTAAATCCTGCCAGGGATAGTTTCTACCCAAGAGAACACGGTGAAGTGGATTTGCGCTTCAGAATAAACGCACGCAGAATAGTACAACCACATACTTACTTACTGACTACCACGTTCTGGTGCACCACGGCCACCACCGTCACTTTATTCAACTCTTCTTCTCACCCCTAATTCTTTTTTTTCTCTTTGCAACTACTTGCAGTCCGGATCAGAGAGAAAAAGCTGTTCCGTGCCAGAACACGGTGGAGGATAAATCTCTTCATTTCCCTCCAGCTAAACTTAAGGACAAACACTAAAGCTTTCACTGTGGAGGGTGATGGATTTGTTCTGCGCCGGCACGTACAGATCCAAAAGGAGAACGTGGGCGCGGGCACGCACACGCACCCCTTGGCACATCCCTACCAGCCAAGACAGATAAACAAGAAGGTTTCAGAAGAACACCTCCTGCTTCCTGCTGTTACCTGCCATAACCCCCAGGGACCACCTCCCCAGATCCCCGTTCTCAATTGCCTACGGCCACCAGATGTGGGCTTCGACGTTTGCACACGTACAGCTGTCGCAGCCTGGACCTTATAAGCTTGGCTGGGGAAAAACATCTGTCTGGAACCACTACCAGCTCAGCTGCTTCATGCCAATTGATTCCCAGAGCGAGCACCAAGCTGAAACAGCAAGAGCTCCGAAGAAAGCAAGATTACAAGAAAACACCAATAAAAAAACTAAAACCAAACTCCACTCCAGGTATCTCAAGTCTCAAATTTAAGCTCCAACAACTGTGCAGCATGCTGGTCCCCTCCCTTCCTGTCCAAAAGCTACGAAGGCGGTGAGTTTTCATAGAGAGTGAAAAAAACCCAAATATATCTAAGTCCCTTGTGGGCAACTTCCAGTTAAATGTCAAAGAATCCAAATTTAGCAAGTCCAGCTCAGTCCTGCCTTTAACTCAAGCATTTTCAGGCCATAACCTGTGTCACTGCTCCGAGCAGTGCTTTAGGACAGGACACAGGTGTGAGAAAAGCTCTTTGGAACCCCGGGAGGCAGAAAAATTTGAAATAAAGAGAACGTGAGCAACGTGAGGGAAAGCTGGGCTGCCTGGCACGGCACAGCACCCTTCCGCGTTATCGGCAAGGGCACGTCCCTGCCGAGTCCTTGCAGAATCCCATCCTTAGGCAGAGCCCTGCGAGGCACACGGGGTTCTAGCACCATTGCCAGATAAGCCCCAGGAAGCCTTCAGAAGCCCAAATATGGAAAAGAAACTCCTGATTCTCTCAGCTTCTACTCCAGAAGATAATTTACCAACAGTCCCACGATGCAGGTTTCAATAGTTCTTAAAGAGCTAGCAGCTGAAAAGAGCTTTTCTGGAAGAATAACGAGACTCCGTGCAGGACAAACACCTTGCAACTCCAAAACCTACGTCTGTTTGTCCCCAGGCAGAGCGAGGCAGGTGGCACGAGGTTCCCCATTATATCTTCTGCCACCCAGTGCCAAGCACTGAGAAAGAGATAACAAGCGGAAGAGCAGGAGGAGATGCTGTATCGTGTCCGTCTACTGAAACGTTTACACTTCACTTACGGCTTCGGTGCCAGAAGGTGTGCATCCCAGCAGGATCCAGCATCCCAGAGAGCCAAGAGAAACACAACCGTTAACTCATAAAGAAAACAGATCTTCTCCGAGCCCATACAGACTTGTGAACAAAGACAATCTCTGGCTGATCCAAAATGTTTGGGAGATTGAAGAATCTATCACATCAGCCTCTCCCACTTAAAACACAGATGTTTGCAGTGGAGCTAGTCAGTTTAGGCCTTTTTTGATATGCAAGAAGTAGTAGATTCCTCTAACCGGGCTGAGCTGCCAGCTTGGGGGTCGGTGGTTTGTGCCCCGGGCTTCTCTAGAGACTCTCCCAGTCCACAGGAATCCCACTTCCAGTGAACTCCAGGCATTCTCCTCCGTTTCATGGTTTATTCATCCTAGCACGTGGCCACCGGTGTACGACACACCAAGAACAATCCGTTCCCAGCCAGGCATCAGGTAACAAGAGGAAAATGCTCCGGCAGAGACCAGAGAATGAGGAAAAGATCCAAAAATAAAAAAATAAAACAAACCAGAACAACTCAATGTCTTCAGACCCCATCAGCACAGAATCCAAGGGTCTTCCACCTAATTAGACATCACTTCTGCAGTATCGCAAGAATTAAGTTTCAAGCCCAAAGGAAACCGTCCGTGCAATCATTTGAAGGCAAAGAAATATCGCTGGAAAACTACTTTTAGAATTAAGGACTGAATTAACTCTTTCTACCCTGCAGGAGAAGTAACTAGATTAGTTCAGCCCTCCTGTGTGACAACGGTAAGGGTGACAGTACGCAAAGAAGGCTTTTGCACTAACCAAAGCTGTTCCCTCGTATCTGCATCCAAATATTGCCTTTTTTGCCTGCACTAAAATCATGAACTCCCAGTGGTTCCAAGGCACCCCAGCAGTAAACCCAGAAATAGCATTTTGTTTTCTGAAGTTAATTATCCCTAGCTCTCTTAGGCTTCTAGGAGAGGAATTCCTCTATCTAGGTCTGGCTCCTGATGAACTTATCACTAGAAATGAGACATTTCCCTCATGGGTCAGTCTTGCCTCCTGCGAGGAGGAGTTGGGAAGGAAAATGAGGGATATTTCCTTAACTATTTAGGAAAGGCATTTGAAAATCAAAATATTCTGAACCTAACTTCAATTAATGAGAAACAGAGAGTGCAGAGAACTCAGGTACGTGAGGTGCCAGGTGGAGCTTTCTCAGTTCTGCCACCTTGAAAGACATTTTGTCGAGTAAAACGTAACAAACCTCCGACAGGCAGAGAAAAGGTAAGAAGCCCTTCAAGGTGCTACTACAAGTTGCTGCAGGAGGAAGGTACACGACAGCTTACTTAGCTGCCAGGAAATCAAGTTATGAGTAAGATGTTATCCCAACAATTCCTTCTGCTTTAGGCAATAAGGCACCTCCAGGAAGACTGGGAGCCAGCCAGGTCTGTTTGCTGGCCCGCAGAGAAACACATGGCCCTTCAAGACCACGAGAGCATCAGATGATGATTTTGCACAGCAGCGTGAAAAGTAATATCACAGAAGCTTAGCTGAAAAACACTAGTTCTTAAAAGATTTAAGCATTTAACAGCTGTTTTCAAATGATTTCACCTCTACCTACGCTTCTTTAGGAAGAGGTTTGGTGCTGGAAACATACCCCCCATTAAATGCTAAAAGATTTAAGCATTTAACAGCTGTTTAAGAATGAGTTCATCCCCATCTACATTTCTTTAGAGGTCTGGTGCTGGAAACATACCCTCCGTTAAGAGTAGGTGTCAAGCCGAAGAGCGTGCACAGCCCAACAGACATGAGCAGAGAGCTGAGCACTGTCACGACCGCTGCCAGCGCCAGGCCCCACTTCGATTTCACCATGTCGATCTTCCCTGAAAAACAGAATGCAAAGTCTCAGTTTCAGACGTACCAGTAAAAAAAAATCAAGAAGAGATCCTCATCCTGACTTATCTCGGCAGGAAGCTTAATACCCCAAGAGCCAGAAGTAACGGTAGCTCAGTCTCAGAGTGTGAAATGCGGCTCCCAGACCCTCCCAGTACGTAAGAGGTTCCATAATGGGAGTGGGACAGAGAATAACACGCAGCTCAAACTCGTTCCAGCACAGCATTGCTGAGAAAAAGGAACTTAATTGTGGCTCGTAAGGTTTAAAACTACCAGCTTGGAACACGTATTTCATCTTTCTGACAACAAATTAGTCTCTCTAAACTGGAAAAAAATGTCATTACTGTGGCATTTAAAGCTGCCTAAGATAGAAAACACCTCAGAAGATTCCACAAGGAATAGTATCAAGCTGGCTAAGAGGGTCAAAATAGCCAAAGTCAGAGAAACAGGACTATTAATTCTCTGCGAGACAGTTTAAGGGTAAGATTTCATCACCACGGTTCCTGCTGCAACAGGACGGCGCCACAGTGTGACGGAGAGGAGTCTCTTTTATTTGCACCCAGGAAAAGGGCACCTCACCCCTGACCCCTTCCATACATTCAGCTTGCTCTCCCCCCGCCCCAAACCTACGTGTGGAGAAGTAGATGTAAGCGAAGAGTATAATGTAGGTGGTGACGAGGGGTATGAGCTCCGCAATGCCGATCTCCTCCTTGAAGTGGACGTGAACGACGTTCTCCTCTCGCAGAGTGCAGTTCGGGCTGGGATGCAGCAGCTTGAGGCGAGCGCGGAGGCTGCTGAGGAACCTGGGGTGAAAAGCAGGCGGGGGGACGGCGCTTAGGCTGCACCCAACAACCAGCACCCAACTCGAGTAGGAAGAAGCTCTCGAGGTTCACACAGACCCACAAAGCGCGGTTGCCTCTAGGCCTGACTGCTGTCAGTCTGCTCCTATGCGGCCCAAACCCTATTATTCATCACCCCGATACTGCGGCAAACTCACAGACCTTCATTTCTATGAAGATTTAAAGACAACTACGAGGACTGTGAGCCAGCAGGGTGCCCAGGTGGCCAAGAAGGCCAAGAGCCTCCTGGCCTGGATCAGAAATAGTGTGGCCAGCGGGAGCAAGGCAGGGATTGTGCCCCTGCACTCGGCACTGGGGAGGCCCAGGCTCGAGCACTGGGTTCAGTTTTGGGCACTGCACCGTGAGAAAGACATTGAGGGGCTGGAGCTGGTCCAGAGAAGAGCAACAAGGCTGGGGAAGGGTCTGGAGAATGAGGCTGATGAGGAGGGTCTGAGGGAACTGGGGTTGTTTAGTTTGGAGAAGAGAAGGCTGAGCGCAGACCTTCTCACTCTCTAGAACTACCTGGCAGGAGGCTGTAGTAAGTGAAGTGAGGTCGGTCTCCTCTCCCAACTTACAAGCAAATAGGACGAGATGAAATGGGCTCAAGTGCTGCCAGGGGAGGTTTATATTGGGAAAAATTTCTTCACTCAAAGAGCGGTGAAGCACTGGAGCAGACTGCCCAGGGCAGGGGTGGAGTCCCCACCCCTGGGGGTGTTCAAAACCGTGCAGATGGGGCACTTGGGGACATGGCTTAGTGTGCTTGGGGTGGTTGGGGTGATGGTTGGACTTGATGATCTTAGAGGTCTTTTCCAACCTTAACAATTCCATGATTCTATGACTCAGCAGCACAGAGAGCAGGTCAACACGGACCTACGGGCCTTGGCTGCAACGACAGCTCTGTCTGCAGATGAAGCCATCACCAGAGGAACTCCCACTGGCAGCTTTGAGTATTATACCTTTTTCAAGAGAAACTGAGACCTGATAGTATTTTATTTCCTTAAACCACAGCAAGTTTCCTCCCCAAAACACCCCCCTGTTCTTCTATAGCACATTCAGAACATCCTAAAATACTCTATGACATAGGAAAATGGAGGTTAAAGAAAAACATAATAATAATCAGAGGAGAAAACCCAGAAAAGTTGCCAAGAAAAGAAGAAGAGATCTCTAACGTAGAAACAGCACAGCTGCAGCTCCTTACCTGGCATCATATCGCTGGAGACCCAGTGTGACAGTGTACGACACCACCCGCTTCCTGTTATAGAGGTTCACCCCGCTGTACTTCCCAGGGAGGCCAAACAACAGATCTGCAGAGCCACAGTACGAACCAAACGTTAGGAACAACAACAAAAGGGATGAGAAAAGATGGGACGCAAGAGGTGTTCGCTGTGAGGAAGGCGGAATGAGAGCTCCTGTTCTTACAGGGAGCAGGTTCAGGGTGCTCTTGATGGGATCTTATCAATGTGGACAAGTACCTGATGCAAGATAGTAAAGAAAACGGAGCATCTGTGTCCAGCTCTGGAGCCCCCAACAGAAAAAGGACGTGGATCTGTTGGAGCGAGTCCAGAGGAGGCCACAAAGATGCTCAGCAGCTGGAGCACCTCTCCTACAAGTACAGGCTGAGAGAGTTGGGGCTGGTCAGCCTGGAGACGAGAAGGCTCTTAAAGGGGAGACCTTATCGCAGCCTCCCAGTGCTTAAACGGGGACACAGGAAAGCTGGGGAGGGACTTTTCACAAGGACATGTGGTGACAGGACAAGAGGCAATGGTTTTGAACTAGAGCAGGGTAGAATTAGCTTAGACATTAGGAGGAAGTTCTTCACCGTGAGAGCAGTGAGACCCTGGCACAGCTCCCAGAGAAGCTGTGGGTGCCCAAGGTCAGGTCAGATGGGGCTTGGAACACCCTGGGCTGGTGGGAGGTGTCCCTGCCCATGGAGAGGGGTTGGAATGAGATGATCTTCAAGGTCCCTTCCAGCCCAAACCACTCCAGGATTCTATCTGTTCTCAGTGGCACCCAGTGACGGGATAAGAGGCAACAGGCACAAATGAAAACATGGGAACTTCCCTTAGAGACAAAGAAAAATCTTCCATCCTTGGGGAATTTCTCTGTCCTCATCTTCTTTTTCCTGGCCAGGCAGCCTGCAGCAGACATGGTCTGCTCTTCAGTCCTAACCCAACGAGCTCAACGAGCTCATCACTCGCTCCTAAGCAAAGCTCCAGGTGTTTTCGCTGCTCACTCGTACGAGGGACGACTCCTCGCCCTCCCAGCCCGTCGCTGGCAGCTGGACGAGGCTGCAGCCCTCTGCACACTCCTCTAATTCCTCCCGTTTGCTCTCGTCTACAGGCACGTCAGGCAGGGACCCAGTTTGTCCTTGTCCAGAGACAGGCACTGTCTTTAAGGTGGCAGCCAAAGAAAACCGCAGACATTTGGTTTTGTGCAGGACGGTGGGTGATTTCAGCCAGAGGTTCCAGTAAGATTTTGCGTTGCAAAGGACTATTTCACGTCTCTTTTGTTAATCTTGTGCGCTAAAACGAAATATATGTAATGATGAACGCTGCCGCTGTTCTCTGGAATTCCCAGGGTGTTGTAGACCTCCCTCTTTTGCGAACGAGCTCCCAAAGAGAGGCTCCGTGTGCTCCAAACCATGGCATGCATATGCTCTGAATGCTCAAAAAATAACCTTTAAAACAAACTTACTTTTGCGTTACAAACCTCCTTTTCAGACGTGTGATATTATAGGCTTCCTGCCATCTGTAAATTCCTTTAAAACCAAAGTAAGAGCATTTCCCTCAGCCTTATGGAACCACTGAACAGCATGATCCCAGACACAGTCAGAACGTTTTTGGTTTTTTAAATTAAGAGAGAAAAATACTTTATGATATCCAGCGTCAACTCGGGCTATACGGAAGCAACTATCAGGAATGCACAAGAGGGAGCAGGATGAATGTTCATTCATCTGTGATGAAGGAGGAAGCCTTTGAGTATCGCAGACAATAGCGTGAGGGAAAAAGACAGGCTACAGCATACGTAGAGCAAGAGGAACAAGAAGACTCGGACGAGTTACACGCTATTTTTACACCTATGGAAAGGAGTCTGACTGAGTGGAATTATCCCCTTTCCACAAATACAGAACCGAGTTCAAACAGACACAAAAGGAGAGGTGGCCTATATTGGGTAGCTTCATTTCCGTGAGTAACAAAATACCACTCAATTTGGAAATAGTGGCCATCTAGATGTTGGGCACACCGAGGCCAAAGCACGCTGTAGGCATTTCTCGCAGCTTCTCTGGCCCTTCAGCACCTCACCTTTAAGAGTAGCTGATGTTTGTAACGTCTTTGGTTCATGCTGGTGGACGGTTTTGATGATATCTGGGTCGGCGTTAAACCGCTCTCGGTCATTCTGCCAGAAGTTCCCCGGAGACAGTAAGAGGCAGCCGTGCTCGGGGAGCAGATTCCGCAGCTTCTTGAGGCCCGGCAGAAGATCTGTTACCTGAAGGCAAACTTCCTCCAAGCTTTTGACACCAGAGCTGAAATGCAAACAAAGGTTAGACACCGCCGTGCGCATCGTGACTCTCACAAACAAGAGGCAAAGCTGCCGAGACCAAGAGAGATACCTCCAGGCACCACAGGAATTGCCTCCCTGGAATTCTTCTTCAAAGACATGAAACTCCTCTGCAGCCTTTTTCCCACGTACAGAATGGGACATTTTACAGACACTTTCCTGATGTGGATTATTTAAAGTGTACAGAGTGCTTTAAACCAGAAAGGGTTAAGTACGTGCAACTATGCAGAATGTTGCACAAGAAAGAAAATGCCTTACAGGTTCAGAAATTGATAGAGGTGCAACTGGTATGAAACGGAACTTGTTAACACAATTACATAACCCTTATCAACGAGCAATTCAAGCAAGACTCAGCTTGTGCTGACAAAAGGATCCGATGGGGAAGGTTTAGTGACAAAATGTGTCAGCCCAGCAAATACAGAAACCAGCCACTGACGATGAGTCAGGTCTTCGGGAAAACTCCCTCCAGCGAGCTCACAGCTGATGGAAATACCATCACCTCGTGTTTCCTATCCAGCTGTCAATAACCTTCAGCTCCTTCTGTACTTCAGCAGAAAAGAGCGGCCTTTTCACATTAAGAAAATCGGCTGCACTTCACTTTGATACTGAGAAAAGCAACCGACAACAAAGAACTTCATAAAGACTTTTGAGGCAATTCCAGAACCCATCTCAAAGTTAAATGTTTCCCCAAACACTCGAGTTCATCACCAAAATGGGAGCCCTTATCCCAAGGTTTAGGTCTAAGGGCTTAAGCTGTTTTCTTCTGGTGGCTACGCAAGGTTAATTTTGCTTCCACGCTGCATCGATGTTCACCGAGGGCAACGCCGAGGGGAGATAATGAGAAGACAACACACGTCCTGGGAGCAAGTTGTTTCTGACTCCTAAGTGGTAACTCTACAGATTGTTATCTAAAGTTACACAAACAATAAAGGAGGAGATGAACTGAAAACACAGAGAGAATGTCAGTGCCAAGGCTTTGCAAGCTGTATCGAACGGCATAAATGGCATTTCTAAAAAATTACCACAGAGGGAGCAGGCAGCTCAAGTGCAAGGAACGGTCTTAAAAAAAAAAAAGGACAAATCATCAGGTGGAGTAGTGAAGTGGCCATGCTCAAAAACGAAGCAGTGAAGGACGCTGTCAGGGAAGTATGAACAAGTAGTAAATCTTCCTTATCCTGTTAGAGGACAGAGAAAGAAGAAAGCTCCCAGCTGAAAAGCACAGAGAGGGTCTAAGACTCCCATCTCACCATTTTTCACCACACTTGGCCTGTTCTCAGCATCATTATTCTCACTGAACATAGACAAGTAGGGAAGTGGTTCTCTCCTTTGAAAGCAAACCCAGCCAAGAACTTTACCAGGGCTAAAAACCCAAATCTCAAAGAAAAGCTTCTTGAAAAACAAAAAAAAAGAGGCAAGTTAAGGTGTATAAAATGTATTCTTGGTTTACAAAAAGAGAATGTGCTCTGGATGCTGGGAGAGAGAGTAATGCCTGACTTCTTGGATGAGGAAAAGTACAGCAGATCTGATCTCCCTGGGTCCCAAGAAAGCCTTTGATGCAGCACCACCCAGAAAATGCTTTAGTTCACTGTAAAGACACAAAAGCATCCAAACTGTGACGCAGTAAAGAACTAAGTTAAGGGGAAAACAGTCCTGGAACTGCTGGGAGGGGAATCACTGGTGTGGAGGAAAGCAAAGTGGAATTTCTCAATGACAGTTCAGAGCATCAGGATTACTATATATTTTTATTAATAACCTTGGAGTAAGATATAGAGGCTACGCAAATAAAGAAACATCATTAATACACAAAAGGAACATGTGGAATGGATGATGTGAGGACTGGAACAAATTTAACTCCCTTTCTATTAACAGGGCAAAGTAGAAGACCAGGCACTTGAGGAATAAAGAGTTTCTCCTATAAGGTGCGGGCTCAGCAGTTAGAAATGGCAGAGAGACACAGAGACATTAATCAATCACTTCATAATGTGTGAAATTGATGTGACCGGCCATGAGAAAGGGCGCTTCCATGGAAAATAACCCACAAATGAGGCTTCTCTGAGAATACTGTGTACACTTCTGATCCCCAGCAACCAGGATGACAAACCGAACAGGGAACCGTTGTACCAGGGCAGGCCAAGGGCTTCACACGTTTTGTTTAACACAAGGATTTGGGGCGGGGAGTTTGAGTTCCCCCTGTAAATTCTGAGAAGCAGAACAAAGACCGTGTCAGGACAAAACCAAGCAGGTATAAACTGGTGCTAAATATAGGCCAAGTGGAAAGTCAGGAGAAGGTTTCTGACCACATGAAATCCTAGAAGAGCTTCACAACGGGCACAGTGGGGTCAAATGAAACTTGAAAGCGAGTCAGTCTGCCTTCGACGCCACCTTTAACGAAGAGTGATTACCTGTCTCTCAGGGCATGGTTTCTAATCTCCTCCACTAGCTGGAAGACGCGGGAGAGGGGCGAGCGAAACACATCGACAGCGAGGAAGTTCTTCTGCCATGGGGAGACGGTAGCTTTCACAAAGATCTGCTGGATGTAGGCCACGGGAGCACCGACGTACTAGGGGGAAAACCAGAGGGAGAATGAAAAGCCACGGTGAGTGGGAAGTCGCTTAAGCAGAATTAAGACCACGGCTTGGCAACCTTTCCGGAAGGGTTTTGCCAGACTGTATTTTCCTTTCCCAAATTAGAGGTGAAACATGACGGCACGAACCTAGCAGGAACAAAAAGAGTCTGTTTCTCAAAGAGGCAAAATGCCACCGACCGTTTTGGCATCGGTCTGTTGCGCTTCTTTGTGAGGCAGAGGCTCTCAGCTCCTGCTGGATTTCGTGCTGGAAGGAGAGGGGGGAGCAGGGGCTCGCTGCCTCGTGCAACGCTGCAGATCCCCCAAGCTGTGCTGATTCCGTTGTGTGCCACTGAAACCTTCCTGGTCTCTGCGCCCGCGTCACCGATGCCACCACGGGAACGGCAGCGCTGACACGCCGTGGCAGCCGGAATTGTTGTGCTCTGTTAGCTGAACGAGGCAACAAAGCGAGAAGATTCAACTGGCCAGCAGCAGCCTGCGGGGCATAAAGCTCTCAGTGGCACCACGGAGTGTAGAAGGCAGCAAATTATTTCAATCCCAGTGGGAAAAGCACACGTGGAGAGTGCTAGAGGCATCAAAAGCATTAAGCCAACAGGTAACTTCTACTTAAAAGAGACTCTGGAATAAAAAAGAACAATGCAAGTTACAAAGGATGATTTCAGAATTGTTTCCTGAGTTCCTGGAGCAAGCTATCAGACTTGTTAGAAAGCATCAGGATTCCAGGTCGCTCACGCAAAAGAAAAGTTAGCAAAAGGTTCTAAGTTTAATTTACTGGCATGATACATACCAGCAAATTAAAAAAAACAAAACAAACCCAAACCCCACCTTTAGATTATACTCAATTCCCCAGGTTCTTCAAGTACCCCTACACGCCCTACTAGCCAGCTCCACAGACAACATCTTCGGCTGCCTAAATTCAAATGAAAATGAAAAATTCTTGACTGTGATCATAAGAAAAAGGCCCATGTCTTGGAGGTGAAGCCTAGACTCCCTACATCATCAGGAAAAAAACCTGCTAGATGCAGTATTTTAAAGCTAAAGGAGAGAAAACTGCAAGGAGGAGCTGGACAGCCTGCCCTCCACCTGCAGGCCGGACAGCCATTCCCATTCTGACAGCGAGTTACTGGTCTTCAGAGGATGTGCTGGTGAAGAAGCAGAAGCCAGATCCCTCCAGAGAGAGGCTGACAACACCAACACCACCATCAGAATTACCAGTGGCAACTCTCCAGCCAGCGACAGCAGTGAAGGCTGACTAAATCCTGTCCCCAAATTTCAGCAAAAGCTTCTTTTGCTGCTCCAGGGAACCCGTATGCCTTCGTATGACATTTGGAAATGGGGGCCCATTACCTCAGAATGCACGCTTCAACTTATTTAAAGCCTAACAATGCTTTAAAAAGTACACTTTGATAAAGTTATCCTTGAGAAAAAGGGCTCTCAATAGCATTTCAGAGCTTTTAACTCTTGCAAAAGCCTAACACCCATTTTTTCTGATAGAGCAAGACTCATATAAGGCAAAAACAGCCTAAACTTAGCAGCTACGCAAAGCAACGCGTCACCGTAAGTATTTTTCCATTGATTATTGCGAAGATTAGGAGACCCAGCAGGGATGCCCATCCCAGCCCCGTACACAGGCAGCCCCACTAGGTGCAGGACTCACCCAGTCGGGACGCTCGCCGAGATCCCCGTGCTGCGGAGACGCGTCTGGAGAGGGCGGAGAGTAATCCTTCACCGGGGTGCTGAACTCCACAGGTCCCGTTCCCGGCAGCGGCAGCTTCAGCAGTGGGTAACTACGGTTAAGATGCAAGCAAGGATCATTTTTTTTAATCAGGCTTTTAGACAGAAGAGCTCAAAAAAAAAAAAAGAACGGGTGGTGAAAAATGACCGGTGAAAAATGAGCTAAATCCAACCTCTGCAGGACAAGAGGGCTTTAGCTCTCACAGGAGTTACGTGATGTGTTGCTATGCTAATCACCTTATTTTCCTCATTAAGATTTAAACTCTTTCCAGTACTCGTCATTAAGTTCATTGCCCCTCGAAGCACTTTTGGTAGTAGCAACGAGACACCAAAACAGCTACGAAAGGCTTCTCTTGCTCCTTCGCTACTACAATCTTCAGACAACAGCACCAGCTAGCCCACACCAAAGACTTCAAACTATTTGAAAGTTGAGGTTTCAGAGGGTTTACAAGAGCGTAAGTTGGGGTTTCAGAGGGGTTACAAGAACGGTTTTAGCTCTGGAAGTTGTCAAAAGTGATTAAAACCATCAGAATCAAACTGGTGGGAGAGGCAAGACTGCTGTTAGAGAGACAAGCTCAATTGTCAGCACCGAAAAGAGCCAGACACTGAGATTCCTGGGCTTTCCACTACGTAACATCTGTCTTTTTGTTGTCTGATGCCCAACAATCTATTGGGCCTTCAATTTCTGACATGTTTTCCCATTTATAGCTGAACTCTTCTCGCAATAGTGCCAGAATAAATATCAAGGCCTCTTTGTTAGGGATTAGAGTGAATCAGCAAAAGCCACGGAGGGGATGAGCAACAGCTGAAGACAAGGCTCCAGACTGGACCACAAATGGCTGGAAAAGAGCGACGAAATCAAAAGTGAAGCTTTTCAGATTTGCTCTTTTATTAGTCTGACAAAAATAGAACATCTGATTATTATCGTTTCATTGTGCAACAGGAGGGAAGAGAAACAGGAGTAATGAGACCACCTTGTAACACATCAGAGGTGAAAATGCCCAACGAAAGCCACAACCTGACGAGAGGGCCCAGCCTCCCTTCTCTCACAAGCAGCAGCTTTTCTCCTTCTAAACGACACAAATGATCTGCTGAAAGCTGGAGCCTGGGGGCGATACACACAGTAACCCTCCTGCGGAGGTTGAGATCCACGTAAATTAATCAAATCGAGTTCGTGTAATAGCCAAAGCAGGACGAGTTGAACAGGTGACCGTGAAAGAACGATTTGTTTCACTAAATCCAGAAACCTAAAGAGAACACTTTGGGTTCAAACTACGTGCTTACACAGCGGTGGATTTCCCCGTGCAATCACCCGTCAGTTGTGAAGAGTGAGAAAAACCATCTTCTACAGAATTTAACTCGTTAGGAGGCGGAGGACGTGAATGGCCAGCGCGTTGCAGAAGTTACGAGGGGACAGGCTGGTCCTGCCTCACCTGCGCTGCTGGAGCAGCCCAAGCACCAGGAGTGGTCTTGGTGCTTCTTGAAGCTCCACCTGTAGGACCAGGCTGTCACGAGATACGCCTGAACAAGAAGCACCCGGTGCCACTCTGGAGCGGGAAGCCACAATCACCAGGAGCTGTGGGAAACGGATCTCCACGGTCCATGGCGAAGACCAGGGGTAAAAAGTAAAAAGTGACAGAAATGCCAAGTTCTTCCGGATGCCGAATGTTTCACAAGTACTTCGTCGTGGTTTAGGGAGATTAAGCCAGCCCTGCACAGACCCTGCCTTGAAAATTGGCAACTCTTGCTGCCCCGCAAAGCAAAAACGTCCCTAATCCTGGCCGAGGTGTAACGGATTCTTGAAGCTTCCCGAAGACCTGCTGAGGTCACCAGAACGGCGATGTGGCAGGAGAGGCGTGGGGCGCAAGGAGATACTGGGTTAACCGGATTTAACCAGCCTGGAGGAGGCTGAGGAGGGAATCTGAAATGCAGTCTTCAGCTAATTAACCGTTAATTAGCGGTTACGGTGAGGATGACACTAGATTTGTTGCAGCGGTGCAGAGGGCAAGGACACAAGCTGCAGCAAGGGAAACTCCAACCAGGCGTATGGAAAAAATTCTTTGAGGTGAGAGCAAACACTGGGAAAGGGACCAGAGCATCCACGGAGATACCCAGAAGTCAACCAGACAGGGCTCCGAGCCCAACTTTGGGGTTAGACCTGCTTTGAGCAACGACCTCCATCACCACAGCCCCGCCGAAGGAAGGGGGGGGATCTCCGGAGGGCTCCAGCGCAAACTCCTGCTCAAACCAGGACCAACAGGAGCGGATTGCTCAGAGCCATGGCCAGTCTGGGTTTGTGTGTCCCCACAGACTGAGGTCCCACAGCACATTTAGGCAAATGACCTAAATTTCCAGGGCTGTCTGCGAAAATAAGCCATAACCATGGCTGCTCTGTCAGTACTGAGCGTGTCTCACCAAGCAACTCTGGATTCTGGATTTTCTGTGCTTAGGCCACAAAGGAAGGACATAGCACGCCAGCTTATGTACCACAGAAATCTGGGGGGAAAAAAAAAAGTATTTCTACATTTTAAAGACCCTAGCCTCTGGAGACAGTTGTCAGTTGCTCCACCAGGCTGGTTCTCAGGCATTAGTGTATTTACATCTGAACAAAATGACTTCATCACCAAGAAACCTTATGGAAGGTACCTGAGAAGCTGGGAAGGAGGAAAGTTCATCTAAGCAAGGGCAATCTGCACAGCTCCCAGCTGGCTCGGGGTTCCACCAGGCCTTGGAGAAAGATTGAGGACGGGAGAGGCTGCCTGGTGGCAGCTAACAGGAAGGGTAGCTGAGAATTCAGCAGTTGTTGTTTCTGTTATTAAAAAAACACTTTTAATTTTCTGTAGAGGGGAAGAAACGAACCACTCCCATCCTGAAGTGCAAGTCGCCTCCCAAAGCACAGGACACACAGCTCACAGCTCCTTAACGGCTATTTTTGAACGATCAAGGGGCTTTGGGTTTGTTTCATTGAGGCTATTTTTCATGTTAGGGTTTTCAAACCTGTCCAAAAATTTTGAAAGTACATGTAAATGCAATGGAGGAAAGAGTAAATGCCATTTCTTGGAAGACTCAAGGGCAACAAAATGAAGGGAAGAACAAAATGGGAAATTTCTGATGGAAGGAAAAAAAGGCAGAGATGTCTGTGCAGGATGGTATCGCACTGCAGCTGCCAGCAAAGCAACGCAACCGCAACTCCCGTATTCTGTGCTCAGGGTAGATCTGTTCATCTCTAAATCACCTTCAGCATTTACCTCCAAATCGATTAAACCACAAATATGGAACAGGATTTATGCTGCAGGAACAGATCTATATGCTCCCTCCCACCCATATTTTTAACACATCCCTACAGTAGACAAGGAAGAGCAGAGCGGCATCTAACCCCGCAGGAACTCAAGCTGTTGGCCTCTTGCTTGTGTGGGTACATTTCGATCAGGTACTAGGAAGAATTATTTTTTTTCCTGTGAGACCTTGGCACAGATTGCCCAGAGAAGCTGTGGATTCCTCATCCCTGGAAGTGTTTAAGGCCAGGTTGGACGGGGCTTGGAGCAAACTGGGCGGCAGGGAGGCGTCCCTGCCTATAGCAGGGGGTTGGAACGAGATGATTTTTAAGGTCCCTTCCAACCCAAAATGTTCTGTGATTCTATGATTCTACACTTCACTGAGATTAGAAGAGCAGTGGCAGCTGTGGTATTAGAAGACAGTGCTGTGCACCCACCAGGAAGAGGACACCCCAGCAGGTCGTCTGGCACACACACAGACAGACAACAAAAAGCTGGAACTATTTTTTATTATAACCTCCATTTCCATCAATTATCTTCAGAGAAAATCCACGTTTAAAAGATTTAAACAGAAGGATAAAACAGCCCCTGCTGTCTGTACACACCTGTGTTTATCTCCTGTAGCCCTTACTGCAACATCATCAAGACAGTGTAGATGCTCACGGTATCGTTTTGCAGCAGAGCTCAGGAACAAGACCTGCTCTTTGGACTCTTTCCAAAAGCTCCCTCATCTCGAGCCAACTACAACATAAATATAAATCACCATAAAGGAAAGCAGGGACATCTATTTGTTTATATCACTGGGATATTTGAGGATTCACATTTACGAAAGGTTTTGAGAAGGTCTGACGGAAGAAGACGCAAAGTGCGCATTCGAGATTGCATTTATTGTAAGTTATTTCAGTAAGATGCTAGAAAATTAGTTCTTGAATATTTTCAGCCTTGCACAGGCATGCGACACCAGCTGATGTTGTCAGTGATACCTGAGACAGCCACACAGCAGAGATTAAGGGAAAAAAAAAAGAAAGAGTGAGAAAGAACCACCCAGCGATACAGAGAAATTCATTAGACCTAGTACTTCAGACACTGATGTTAGAGCATCTTTTAGGTAAAGAGATACTTAAAAAACAAACCAAGAGCTGCCACCAAGTTGTCAGAAGCATCCAAGCTTCCCGCAGACATGAAAATGCTGCCAGGACCACGAGACGTGCCAGGCCAAGGTCATTTCCATGGGCACTTCTTACCAAAGGTGAGAAATGCCCTGAGCGAGTTACAGGGAACGATTTCAAGCGCTCAGGTTTGATTTTCCACACGTTTCTCTTTGTTAGAGATTTTTTTTTTTTTTGGTGTGATCAGGATGGAAAGGGTAGAGAAAGTAGGATCCAAAACAGAGGATAGGAAAGCTCAAAAAGAAGTTTGGGGTTTGAGAAAGGTTCTTTTCAGATGCTCGTGTAACGGTGCATCCTGATGCCTTTCTGCGAATCCAGAATAAAGGAAAAATAGATCACCTACAAGTCGGTATTGCTGAATTCAAGCAAGAGCGCATTTTAGTTACCAAGCGTGAGGTAGGTTCAAGCAAAAATGTTCATCCAGCTACTTTACATATTTTCAAGACAGCTCAGAGGGCCAAGGTGGAGAAGTGCCAGGTGAGCCCGAGGCAGCTGGCAACGCAGTTCAAGTGCAAACCCTGCAACTGCATGTTCCTCCTCCTCAGAATCGAAGCAGAGATCTCCACCACCCCAGAATAATCTTCGGCTGGTGAACACGAAGGAAAGCGGAGCGGTGCCAAGTCTTAGATAAGAGGGAAGGTGGTGACACATTGCCTTAAAATAGTCACCAACACCATCTTGCAAATGGCAGAACAAGCTTTTTAGCCCGTTTCCAGCCTGAACTGTCACAAAGATGGAACAACCCGAGAACCCGTTGCTAACGAGAGATCCGAAATTTGGGTACTTCAGTCAAAGAATAAGCATCTGCAAAGCCTCACCCTGTTTAGTTCTCCAAAACTTGTTCCACAGAGCCAGCTGTTTGACTGTAAATTCTAACTTTAAACTAAAAACTATTCCTCAGAACTACGCAGGAATCTCAAATTTGCCCTGATGACCTCCAAAAGGTATCATCTGCTCTTCTCTGAGCTGCAGAGGAGGAACCACGCAAACGGTGCTGAGGGGCTCTGACCGGTCACGTTGGACAGAAGCACTGCTAAATGAGCTTCTGCCTTGAAACCGCGCCTTCATTTTCCCATCTGCTCCAAACTTCAACACATTTCTCACTCATTTCTGCTCCGTTTGCTGAGATGAATCAGCAAGATCTGTCCTAAGAAAACATTTCCGAAGAGCACAAGCAAATTATATTCCAGCATTGAGTCGATGCCAAAGACCATTACTCAGAGACTTGAGACTTGATGTTCAGAAGGATGCTAGGGCAGCCCAGTCTGAAAAGGTACGGAATAGCTCACTCCAGGTTTACACCGTCATAGTTCCCATCCATTTGTTACGGGATCAGTGTTCAGCAGTTTTCCAGATTCTCTTCATATATTCCTAGGTGGTGATAAGATCCCTGGAGCCTTCTCCAGACTGAACAGCTCCAGCTCTTCCAGCCTTTCCTCATAGGAAACACACTCCAGTCCCTTCATCACCTTCACAGCCTGGACTTCTCCCACTAGTTTCACATCCTTCTTTAACTGGAGTGTGGCTCCCGTTCAACTTGGTGTCCACCAGGACCTTGGGGACGTGTTCTGCAAAGCCGCTTTCCAGGGAGCTGGTCCCCAGCCTGGGGTTAGCCTTCCCTTTACGTTTCCTTGTGCTGAACTCCACGAGGCTGCCCTCTGCCCACGCAGCCATCTGTGGTTTGTCAGCCACTCCTTCCAGTTTTCATCCAGCTGCTTCATCCTCTTTTTTTTTCCCACTGCAGTTCACGATACACAAAGTTTGTATCATCTGCAAACACACTGAGGGTGCAGTCCACCCCATCATCCACGTCAACCACGAAGAACTCAGAGCTCAGGCTCAAACTAAGAGGAAGACTTGAAGACCTCAGCCCAGAACTAAATTTCCAATAAATATTGCCATGTTCTGTGCACAGATATCCTCTCAGAGTTCAGTCTCACCGAACAAAATGCTCAAGCGTAGAAGGGCTGCGCTCCAGAATAGTTTTGACCTAGTTAGTGATGCCACTTCTCCAGCGAGAATGAACATCAAGTTAACAGCAGCTAATCCAGAGCAGCTCAGAACAGGAATCGAAACATCCCCAAAAATGGCTTCTGAAGAGGAAGCACTTGAGCCACACTTCAAGTTTTTTTGCCAAGGTACACTTGGGTCTCGGAGGGTGTCACAGCATTTCTAAAAGTCTTTCTCTCCTAAGACTATTAAATGCTTTTTCACTGAGTTACTGAAAGTCATTATTCACTTGCTGTTTGGTGGTGTCTCGGACAAGTTTCTGCACTCTAAAGGTAACCAGTAACTGCAGAATCTCAAATACCGGCACCGAGTAACGCACACACTTCCACAAATACACAGCAAGTAACTAATCTGATAAAGACAACCCGGTCTGAAGCTTCAAGGACTTCGTATGAGACGTCTTAATTCATCACATTTCTCTAAAGGTACGACTACACAGACAGGAGGGATCCAAATTCTGACCCAGTGGGCACAAGGTTCCCAGGAAGAATGAGGACAGCTGCCAGTAATCCGAGATCAGATTTCCTCCTGTCTGGGAAACCCTAAATTTAGGAAAGGGAGTAAGCAAGCAGTTTGTATTTTGATCCCTCCCAAAGTGCAATACTGATATGGATAAACCTTTTTCGACTGAGGCAGTTGTGTTGCATTCCTGAATTTACGCCAGCAAAAGCACCTGAAGGGTAACTGGAAAGAGGAGCCGAACGCTGCCGGCAGCTCTGGGGAAGCGATCAGCACGGCGATTCAGGAGCCGTGGTGGAACTCTTTCTTTTGGCTGATGCAGGTCTGACGCGTGAAAGCAGCCTCCAGCAAAACCGACAGAGCAACCACGTCAACAAAGATAAACAGAACGGAGAATCCGCTCGCTTGGACCTTGTAGAAGCTTCCTATTACTGCAGATCTGAAAATAGAACTGTGAGCACCGACAGTTACAAGAATTCACATGAAGCAGCGAAAAATCAGGAGAGCGATGCCTCGACTGCTGCTCGCAGCCCCGAAGAGTCACAGGCGCGGTTTTCAATACATGAAAATAATCAGTTGGACAATCTTTTAACTGTAGATGTGAAAAAGTTTGTCTTATCCTCAGCAATGCTCAAAGAAATATTCACATCTGTATCTGTAGGGAGTTTTTCCAAAAGCAGAGATCATCACGTAGGGCTTCTTTTGACCAAAAGAGACAAGATACTTAGAATTAAAAACTTGAAGAGAGAATCTATATAAGCAAATGCACATGTCTGTGCACAAATCTGAGCACAAACCTTAACTTCAGCAGTCGTGATGTCACACTGGAAACGGTTACGCCTGTGCTACATTTAAGAGTGAGATTATAATCAGTTGTAAGTCACATCCAAATTAGAGTCCATGAGAAGAGCAGAAAGTTAACAAGAACACACAACACATGCGTGCCAAGGCAAGGGCTGAAAAAGAAGAGAACAAGTTTAAGGGAGAACAGAACAGGTAAGGATGGAGAAAAATATCAATCTTCCTTCTCCCCATTTTTAATTCAGGGTTTTGGGGTCCAGAACCAGGTGTGTGTGGATTACTTTTATTTTATTTCTTTTTTTACTTCACTTATTCAATTAGCTTTTATGATTTACGTATTAAATCACCCAAAGACATTTCATCCCTGGCTTTCCTTGTTCCTGCAGAAAAAGAGATGACCAAAAAACAAAATCTGTCAAGTTTAAAAGAAAAAGAGTTTCTGGGATAGCCCCCCAAGACAGGGAAACACGAGCACGTCCACGAGGTCACTACGGAAACCCCACAAAGCAGCAGCACGTCAGGAGGACGAGCACTTGGCGCGACTCACCAGCAGGCCAGGATGCAGAGGCCAGTAAAGAGGATGATGGGGATGGGGTAGGAAGCACACAGCAGCCCGTGGTTGTAGAACGCCCGCGATATCCTCTCGCGCAGTTTTTCAGTCAGGGTCATCCTCAACTGCCGTCACCTCGTTGCCATCCCGGAAGACATCAGGGGCTCGGGCAATTCCAGCATGTGCGACGCTTCAGGAAAGGCACTGTGTGCAGCTGGGAATCGGAAAGAACACAAGCTCGTGAGAAAAAGAATAAATGAACAAAAGGAAAAGAAAGATCACCACCTTGGTTTAGAAAGACTTTCAGGGTTGTACCTCCTCAGGAGAAAAGGCTGGTCCCACCCAGCGAGTGCTGGTTAGGAGCTTATTAGTGGGGTTCGCCTGGGCAAGGACGGGCAGAAAAACATTACGCGGGAAGCAAAACCGGCCCAAAGGACGTCGGGCACCGTCGCCGTGAGCTGCTGGTCAGGGAGGATGGGTAGAGCGAGGAACCGAACCGTCTGAAAGGGAGGAAGAAAAGGAGCTTAGCAGGGAAAGAATGAAGCCCCGCTCCGGGGAGATGCCAAAAGGCCGATTAGAAAAGCCGGAGTGAGGCGAGCTGTCAGCGACGGGGGCGGAAGGGAAGCGCTCTCGGACGCCGAGCGGAGCCCGTCAGAGCTTCAACGATCAGCAACACCCCAGGAACAAGAGGAGCGCCCAGACCAGCTCCGCAGCACGGACAACCCGCAGAAAGCTGGTTGTGCGCGGGGAACGAGGGAGGGAAGCGTGAGTAGCCACGGTGCAGGGCACTAAGCCAGAGCGCGCGACGCAGAAAAATAAACCAACGCCGATACTTCTTGTCAAAACGTATTTGAACTTGACCGTAAGGCTCCCGCAGAGGCTGCTCACCAAGCACAAACCAAACTGCAAATGTCAGAAGGGGTCGACCGACACTGGCTATTTGATTTAGAAAGTATAAAACATGCGTTATAAAAAGCCCCAGGAAAAGGTTAAGACAACACATTAAACTAAAGCACAAACCGAATTTCTAGGAAAGACGGAGGAGAAGAAAACTCTCGCCTAATTTTATTTTTTTTTATTTTAAATCTCAGGCTAAACGCAAAGCACGTGCTTCACAGCGACATTCTGAGAAGCGAAAGCCTTGAACGCAACACAGATTTTTTTTCACAGAGTTCAAAGCTACGATTATCCAAGCTTTTTATATTTTCATCTGTGTGGAAAGAAATACATTTTTCCTGGCTCCTCCAGAAGAAGACTGGGGCAACAGGGGCCTCAAAGCAGATGAAATAAATCACTTTGCCCCCAGGAAAATACCATTAATGATTGCAGCAGAGAATTCAGGCCAAGACCTAAAGGCAGGCTGCCCATTAAAACCAGCCGGGGAGCTGACGCTTTGAAGAACTCACCGTCGCCACCCTGAACGCAAAGAATACTAGAGCAGAAGGCCTGAGAGAAATCAGAATAAATCTATTCAGGGGTTTTGTGCATATCTGGCTCAGGAATTCCGTACGCCTCCAATATTTAGAAGTTGGGGAGGTTCCGGAGGTGCCGGGTTTGTTTTATACGCACTTTCAGCTACATAGGAGAGGAAGACAAACCCCAAGCGCAGCCATTATGGTTTTAAATTCAGATTAAATTCTATTTCGTGCCCACAGGATTATTTTACGATGATCTACTTGATTGTTTCCCCCCAGCAACGCAACTAAAAATAGTCTGTTTTTTAGCAACAGAAGCAGCAGTACCTCGGCCCGATGACCAAATGGAACAACCCGGACAAATTATTTTTGTCCGTCCATTGCACGCACACGGGATAAAAGGCTTTGTCTCACAGTCACACAGAGAACCCTAAAACATGGTTCCCCAAAAAGCAACATTTAGAAGAAGAACACATTTAGAAGTTGAGGAGGTTACATTACAACATCTCAGGTTTTAACCTTCCGTTTGTTTCGGTCCAGTAGCAAATATGACCCGCTCAAATCAAGTCCAAGGTAAACATAAAACACAAAATTAAAAAATAATAAACCACCAGAGACACAGACTTTCTATTCTACACCTCAAGAGGGAGCAGGGGAAAAAAATAAATAAATTTAATTTGGCATTTCAGTGACAAAAGCCATAGAGTGAGAAATAATGCAGAAAATCACTGTGTACACAAGCCTACTACTCAGAGCAGGTCACTGAGAATAATAATCAAAGAATGTCTTTTGAATATATGGCAGTAACTGAACTGCAAAACCACCGTCCACGTTACTGGAATGGGGAAGGAAGCTGCAAACAAGTACACTGGAACTGAAAAAACTCAAGGCTTCATCCCCCTGGTGATTTTTCTCCGCAGGAGCTACAGAATGTCACGCTGGGGCTCACACGGACAGATCGTATCCTTAATCTAAAGGCGGAAGACAAAAAGCAAATATTAAATGACCCTTAAAGGTAAAGTCGACCCCGAGCACCCAGACCCCACGGCTGTCGTGTCACAACAGACCCGACCCCTCGTGCCAGGACCCAACTAACCCGACCGCCCAGCTGAAGGGAGCAGAGAGGGAGTAAAAGTAAATATTCTTCATATCAGCCCCCTTTACACTAAAGTTTACGAATGCTGCACGTGCAGGAATTGGAATTGTGAGAAAAGCTTCAAGCACAATGATCATCGCAGGTCCCGTCCAACCGAAATATTCTAACCAGTCACAGAAGAGGAGAGAGGACAATAAAAACCCCAACCAAGTTTAGACTACTTAAAAACTCACGTGTATATCCTTAACACACCCCATAAAGTATAGGTCAAACACGAAGAAAAATTCTCATCTCTAAAGCAGAAATAGCTCCCGCCCGGCTCCTCGGCCAGCCCTGCCCTCTGACAGCGAGTGACAGAACGGTTTGGGTGGGAAGGGACCTTCAAGATTGTCTCGTTCCAACCATTCCGGTCGTTAGTCCTGCACCGGGAAGCGTTCCGGCCCCCTGCAAAGAGGGGAAGTTCGTATTTGCTTGCTTCACCTGGTGTGAAACAGCAGCATTCATTAAGAAGCAAGCATTAAGCACTGCAAAGCTAATATTTGCTTATTACGTTTGAGCTGCACACTCGATTTGAAATCTGATTAGCTTTGTGCTACGACAGTGCTCATAAAGGCAAAAAGCAGGAACCGTTCCTGGTCCAAGTCATTTTTGCCAACAGAGATTAGCTAACTCAAAGGCCCTGATTTTAGGACAAATGTCAAAGGAGAATCCATTCAGAGTATTTCTTTCCTTTTGCACAACGGCAACTCCAAGACAAAGTTTGAGCGGGAACAAAAGGACATCGGGGCGTTCCCTTCACCTCACAGCAGAGAACGTTGAATTTGCGGTTCACTTCAGGTACGAGAGCCAGGCACACAGTGACGGTCAGAGATGGAGCGCGGGAAATAAAAGCAGGCAGCGGGCTGGAAAGAGCGAGGTTTGGGTTATGACGTCTCGTAAGTTCCAAACCAAATTACACATTAAGCAATTCTCAGCCTCTCTAGTCCTTCCTTCCGTTTACAGGACTGTCAAAAAAATGATGACTGCCGGGATCACACGAATTCAGCCATCGGTGATTTCAGTCACACACGTCCTGCCCCGACGATTCACAGAGCCGCAGCTCCTGCTGCGATTCCTGGGACGGGGGAGCGAGGATCAGCGAGGACGCCCTGCGCCGAGGTTACTCATCCCCACCTCGAGACACGGGTGTTTCAGGGCAGCCTTGCAAATGTTTCATGCAAAATGTAACGCAACACTAAAGCCAGGAATCCATCACAAACTGGAAATTCAGCAGAGAACAGAGTTCAGATGGTAACAAATCCACAACATCTGGCCAGCTGCAGGTCAGAAAACCACAGCGCTTCACCACTGGAATGGTGGTTCCCTCTGAAGCCCCTTCCCTTACCCACAGGCAGGAAGGGAAATACGACTAAAAACTGATATTTTTTCCTGACACCATATTACACACCACGTCTTTGGACTTTTTTGGGGTGTACCATGCATTTGCGGAGGAGTTTCTCAAGTAGCCAAAAACTCTTCTCATCCATAAAGCAACTCTGGAAGAGGAGCTTGTACCATACCAAGAAAAAGCCCGATCGTTTTTTCGCTCTTCATTCAGAATGCAAGACAGGCAGAGAGAAGACTAAACGAACCCACTGCTCTTTGAGCCCCGAGGCCTTTTTCAGCGAGTTGATTCTTATCCCGACGAGCGCGAGCGTGTTCTGTTACACAACCACAGCATCCCAGGTTAGAAAGGACCTCAAGGATGATGTGGTCCAACCTTTCTTGGTCAAAGTTATAAATCACTCACAGTCCATAATACACTCTGTGCTGACTGCTGTCATGAAACAGGACAACTTTTCAACCAGACCTAAGCACTGCGTCACGTCGCTGGCTCCCACCTCACCAGCCCTCCCCGCAGACCCTCAGTGCAGGCCAGAACCACGGCTCTTCACCCAAACCCCACAGCTCAGCCTGGAGAAGAGAAGACTCCAGGGAGACCTCCCAGCACCTGAAGGGGCCACAGGGAAGAAGAGGAGGGACTTTTTCCAAGGGCATGTGGTGACAGGACAAAGGGCAGTGGCTTTAAACTAGAGCAGGGTAGATCTAGATTAGGCATTAGGAAGAAGTTCTTCACCGTGAGGGTGGTGAGACCCTGGCACAGGTCGCCCAGAGAAGCTGTGGATGCCTCATCCCTGGAAGTGCTCAAGATCAGGCTGGATGAGGCTTTGACCTGGTCCAGTGGGAGGTGTCCCTGCCCATGGCAGGGGGTTGGAACCAGATGGTCTTTAAGGTCCCTTCCAACCCAAACCGTTCTAGGATTCCATGATAAACACCAATTCTGGCTCACCATAACTTCTAGGTAGTTCACAGGAGCTCAGGCTCTTTCTCTCTCTCACCCGTCCGAGAGCCGAACAGACAATTCGCTTTGTGCTTCCAAAGCGATTCTGTCCCAAGGAGCTTGTGGCCAACTCCACGCCAGGCAACGGAGCCGCGCTGAGGCCAAGCCCAGAGCGCTTCGCAGCGACGGCAGCACGGCGGAGGTCGGAGGGGACTTCTGGAGATGCTGAGGGTGACCTGGGGCAGGATGGGCAGGACAGGGCAGATCAGTCAGCTTTTGAGTACCTCCCCCGACGGAGGTTCCACAGCCGGTTCCAGAGCCTGACCACACGA